ATAATTAACACAGTTTTTCATATACATACAAAAACAATAGTAAATATATATAAATATATTATGATAGAAAAAAAACTAATTATAAAAACAATTTAACAATTTAGGTTTGTTTTTTACACCATCCACTAACACAATCTGTATTAAATTCACACAAACTATTATATATTTTAGCCCATATGTATTTAAATGGTAATAAAATATAGTTACAATATAAAACAATAACAATAGCAACAACAATAGCTGCAAAAATAACAACAAAAATTATAACTATTAATAAAATTAGAAGCGATTTACAAACGAATTAAATATAGTATGAACAACGACAACAATAATAATAATAATAAAAATCAAAAAATTCAAAAGTTATTTTTAAGTATATTACCAAGGGGGAAAAAATTAACAATATTTATAATAATATTATCAGCAGTATTATTTTACTTTAGACGAAAATTTATATCATTTATCCCACAGTTTATAAGGGATATATTTACAAAATCTGGCTCATCGTCACCGAAAACTACAACCCCAACACCACCCTCACTATTTATTGACTCTCCCCCTTCCTCCTCACCTTCCTCACCTTCCCCATCTTCACCATCACGAGAAAACCGTAATAGTATATTTAATAATTTTTTAAATGGTTATAGTAGTAGCAGTAGTAATGACGAAGAAAATAACTCATCAAAAAATAAAAAAAAACAAACTAAAAAAATATCATTAAGTCAAATAAAAAAAAGAAGAGTTTGCCTTTCGACCATTGGGGTAAGAATTATTATTAAACCAATTCAATTATCGTATTAATACTAATAAACTATTTTTTTACTTTTAGACCATATTTAAAAAGAATGTATTTTATGAACATATAACCGACAGAAGAGTATCACAATATAAATTTATAGAGTCTGAAAGAGATGTATTAATTAAATTAGCAAAAGAATCAGATTTATATTTAATTACTCAGATTGAAGAGGATCAAGAAGAAGAGCAGGTTTTGGATTTATTAAAATCATACGGTATTATAGATGCAGGTTTAAATCCAAATAAATGTCTTTTTTGCTCAACTTCTCAAGGTAAAGGTCATATTTCAAGACATTTAGAGGTTTATTTACATATTGAAGGCTCTGATATTGACGTTTTAATAATGCTAAAACCACACGTAAAAAATTTGGTATTAATTGGTAATAATGACAAAACAACTACTACTACCACTACTACAACCACAACCACATCTTCCTCAACTTCCAATGGCTCAACTTCTACAGGTTTATCAGTTGCTATTTCACCCAGTAAAAGCAAAGAAGACGGTATCTCAATTGCCCCATCACTACACGAATATTTTGAATATAAATAAAATAACAATTAAAAAAATAATAAACAATAATTATAAAATAAATTAAATAGAAACAATATAAAAGTTGTTTTTAAATTTGAACTAAACATTATTGTTACTGCTATAATCTATTAAATACAAATAAAAAAAATATAAATTATATTTTATTTTATTTTAAATACTTATAACTTTTTTATTTATTAAAAAATTATTTTTTTCTTTCTCTGCTTGTACTTCCATCTCTTTTCGATCTATATGATTTTCGGTCTTTGCTCCTTGATCTTGATCTATCTTTTCTTTTATATATCTCTCTGCTGTTTGACCTTTCTCTTTTATTGTTTGTTGATGTTCTTTCCTTACTTTTTGACCTTGATCTTGACCTTGATCTATCTCTTTTATTAACTGATTCTCTATCTCTGTTTCTTGATCTTGACCCATCCCTTTTACTATGACGCTCTCTACTGATTGATCGCTCTCTTTTATTGTTTGTTGATGTTCTTTCTTTACTTTTTGATCTTGATCTTGATCTATCTCTATTTTTTCTTCTACTATGACGCTCTCTGCTTGTTGATCTATCTCTCTTTTTTGAATCTCTATCTCTACTTGTTGATCTATCTCTATATTTATCTTTTTTATCTTTACTTTTTTCCTTTCTTCTTTTATGTCTATCACGTGATCTTGATCTTGATCTTGAAGTTGAGCTGTCTCTATCTCTATCTCTGTCTCTGTCTCTTCTCTTTAGTTTTCTTTTGGATGATTTGCTTTTCTTTTTTCTTTTTTTCTTTTTATGGTCGTCGCTACTTTCTGATAATGATGAATCTTCTGATGATGTACTTGAGATATCTATATCATCATAGTTACTAGTAGATATATTATTACTATTAGTTGTTGATACTGTAAAATTTACACCTGCAATGCATTGATATGTTAAATGACCATTACCACCACATTTTTTACATAAAGATCTTGTTGAACTATCAGCTACACCTGTTAAACGAGCCACTGCTAACAATCCTCTATAGTTATCACTCTCACTTTCTGGACCTGTAGTTTTTGGTTTTCTTAATATCTCTTCTTCATTTGTATTTTCATCTTCCATAGACTCCCATATTTTGTGAGATTTTAATGAGTTATTGCTATATAAACGATTTCCTGGGATTTTCATTTTATTTTACCCATACATATATTATTTTAATACATAAATTTAAATAAAAAATGGAAAATGAAAAAAATGAAAAGTTGGTAAAATAAAAAAATTAAAAAATTAAAAAAAATTAAAAAAAAAAATTAAAAAAATAAAAAAAAATTAAAATTTTTTGTTTTTCATAAAATTTATTCTCGATTTCTTTCATTTTATTTTTTAAAATGGAAAAATAAATAAAAAAAACAATTAATATATTTCAAAAACAAATAAATTTATATTTGAATATTTATTTGAATTTTTTTTTTTTTTTTTTTGACAGGAACCAGGGTTTTAATAAGTAAAAAATTTTTGATAAAAATATTGTAAAATTTGACTTTTTTACAAAATTTCTAAAGAAAATAAAATTAAAATAATAAAAAAAAAATATTTATATATTTATTAATTTATTTAAAAAAAAAAAGATTCAAATTGAGGTTTCACAGATATTTTCATCTGGCAAAAAAAATATTATTATAATAAACTGATGCTTAGTTGGTTATCATTGCACCTTTTTGTGAATAATTAATTTTTTTTATTTTTATTTTTTAAAAAAAGTCAAAAAATACAAGTTTTTTTTTAGACTGATTATTTGTATGAGGTTTCGGTGTCTCCAAATAAAATTTTATTTTAAAAATTTTTTTGATAACTTTTTTTTTTGTTTTCATGAACCAAAATAAAAGAAAAAAAAAAACCGGTTTTTATCATTTAAAATAATAATAAAGATACCCTCACAGAAATAATTATTTATTTATAAATATTATATATCTATATATATTTTTTGGTTTTTATATCTCTTTTTATAATTATTTTATATATATTTTATAATATTTATATATCACTCCCTTACACTATTCCCCTAACAAACAAATTAGAGAGATAGTGTACAATGAAGTGAACAAAAGACAGAGAAAAATCGTCATTTTAAGTCACTAATAGAGAATAAAAAAAAAAATATAGAATTTTTTTTTTTAGATTTATAAAGCTTTGCAAGTTTAATAAATTATTCTTTAAATACAAATAAAAAAAAATCAAATAAAAAAAAAAACGTATGTATATTTTTACTATTATCCATCCTTTTTTTTTTTTTTTTGTAATCACCCACTTTTTCATATGGTTTGATCAAATCATAAATAAAAATAATAAAATAATCAATATTATTTTTGTAATGGTTTAACTTAAAGATAAATTATTTATTTATCAAATAAATATAATTTATGCATAATATAGTTTTAAAAATAGTTATTGTTTCATATAATTACCCCACTTGTGTGTTGTAAAAAAAATTAAAAAAATTAAAAATTAATTAAAAAAATCACATGAAATTTATTTTTCAAAATTTTTTTTCTAAACATTTATAATAAATATATATATTTGTTATCTAATGAATTTATATATTTTTTTTTATTAAAATATAAATATTATATTTTTATAAATAATATCATAAAGTCATAGTACCATAAATTTTTTTTTTTTTTTTATAACAATAATATATCCATGTACTTTTATTAATCAAATTAAAAATTGTTTATATTTGCAGACTTATAAATAGAAAACAAGAAAAAAAATAAAAAATAAACAATTATAGTATCAAAAATGGAAGAAATAAATAATAATAGTAATAGTAATAATAGTAATAATAACGATAGCGATAACAATAACAACAATAATAATAATAATAATATTACTAGTGATATTGAAATAAATAGTATTGATGAAAATAATAATAATAATTATAATACTCAGGCTATTAACGAATTAAATAAATCATTGGACGAAACCAAAGATGAAAAAGCCAAAAGAAGATTATCATTTCAAAATTTAGATAATGTACTCCCAAAGACAGCAAATCATAATGCATATACTTTTCAAGCTTTCGACCAAAAAGACGTTAGACAAGGGGCATACCCTAAACTATCAATTGATCTTTTTGGTACCTCAAAAGAAATTCCCCAAATTTTCCATGAGCTTAAGTTCCAAATTGGTGAAAAGCGTGCCAATAGACCAGATTCACCATCTACTTATCTCTCCACAATTCAATCATCCACTACTACAGTTCAAAAGAACCAAGTTAAATCTTTTGTAGAAACATTGTCAATAAAAGATATTTTCAAACAACAATCCTCAAGCCCATCAAATACAGTTAATGGAAATGTTACCCAGTCAAATAGTGGCGATAGTGGTAATGCTATTATTCAAGGTGCAGATGTAGTTATTCCACCAACCAAAAAAGAAATTAGTTCTAACAATAAAGAGGGTATAGAGTTAAAATCAATTCACAAAACAACACCAGATGGCGAATCTGGTCTCAATGATAAGGATAAATCAAAGGCTAAACAAAAGGCCGCTGAATATGATGTTAATGAGCATGAATTGACTTTAGAGCAGTTATCAGATAAGTTTACCACTGATATTAATTTTAGTGACCCATCACAATCAGGTGTAAGTTAGCTTTTTATAGTTATTTAAAAATCAATATATTTATATTAATATAAATTTTTATATTCAGGGATTAACTTCATCATTGGCATCAGAGTTATTAAGTAGATACGGTAAAAATGTTTTAAAGCCACCAAAAGAAATTCCATGGTATGTTCAATTAGCAAAGTGTTTTACAAATTTCTTTATGATCCTATTAGAGGTTGCAGGTGCTTTGTGCTTTTTGGCTTATGGTTTGGATAGAAGTATTAGGGTTAATTTATATTTGGCTTGTGTTCTTTATGCAATTGTTATATTTACATGTCTTTTAACCTTTTCTCAAGAGCGTCAAACTGGTAATATTATGAAATCATTCAAGAATCTTTTACCACAATCATGTCGTGTTATTCGTGACGGATCAGAGACTAAAATTAAAGTAGAAGATATTGTTATTGGTGATATTGTGGTTGTTTCCGCTGGTGACAAAGTTCCAGGTGATATTCGTATCATTACTTGCAATGGTATGAAGGTAGATAACTCTTCATTAACTGGTGAAAGTGAAGCACAATCATGTACAGTTACATGTACAGATGATAATCCACTCGAATCACACAATCTCGCTTTCTATGGTACTCTTGTTATGGATGGTTCAGCTAGAGGTGTTGTAATTAGAACTGGTACAAATACTTTAATTGGTAAAATTGCAGATATGGCATCAAATACAGAACAAACAGAAACTACTCTTCAAATAGAAACCAAAAGATTTGTTCATTTTATTACTGTTCTTGGTATTACTATGGGTCTTCTCTTTTTTATTATTGGCTTCTGTGTCGGTATTAAACCCATTCCAAATTTAATTAACGTACTTGGTTTAATTGTAGCTAATGTTCCAGAAGGTCTCCCATCAACAATTACTGCTTGTTTGACTGTAACAGCCCGTCGTCTCTCTAAAAGAAATGTTTATAGTAAAAAGTTAGAATCTATTGAAACTCTTGGTTCAATTACTTTAATTGCTTCAGATAAAACTGGTACTCTTACTCAAAATCGTATGACTGTTAGCCACATGTGGTATGATAATACAATCTTTAGAGCAATTGAAAATGGTGGTACCATAGATAGAACTCTCTTTGACTTAGGAACTCCAACATGTTCAAATCTTATTAGAGTTGGTGCATGTTGTAACCGTGCAGATTTCGATAGATTATTAGAAGGTAATATGGAAAGACCAATAGAGAATCGTTTAATCCTTGGTGATGCTTCCGAAAGTGCCCTTGTTCGTCTTTGTCATAAAATTGAAGATATAGAAATTACTCGTGCAAAAAATTCCAAAGTATTCGAAATCCCTTTCAATTCAACAAACAAATGGCAATTATCTATCCACAAATTAGAAAATGATAATTCATCATCAAGAATTCTTTATATGAAAGGTGCTCCAGAAATTATTTTTGAAAAATGTTCAAAGATTATGCAAAATGGTAAAGAGATTCCAATCGATGAAAAAATCAATGCCGATTTTATTACTGCATACGAGGCACTAGGTAGTATGGGTGAAAGATGTCTTGGTTTCGCACAGCTTCTTTTAACTGATGAAAATACAGTTCCAAACGATCTTTACGATGCTCAAATTTTAAATTTCCCAATGACTGGTCTTACATTTGTAGGTCTTTGTTCACTTTTAGATCCACCAAGAGAAAATGTACCATTTGCAGTTCATCAATGTAAAACTGCAGGTATTAAGGTTATTATGGTTACCGGTGATCATCCAATTACAGCCAAGGCTATTGCAAAAAAAGTTGGTATTATTTCATCACCAACTGTTGAAGATATAGCTCAAGAAAGAGGTGTTCCAGTTTCCGAAGTTGATGATAGCGAAGCAGGTGCTATTGTACTCCATGGTGCTCAATTAAGAGAGTTTACAGAGGCCGATTGGGATAGAGTTTTAAGTAAAGGTGAAATTGTTTTTGCTCGTACTTCACCACAACAAAAATCTCAAATTGTAGAAAATGCTCAAAGAAGAAAGGAGGTAGTTGCCGTAACTGGTGATGGTGTTAATGACTCCCCAGCTCTTAAAAAAGCAGATATTGGTGTTGCTATGGGTGTTGTAGGTAGTGATGTCGCTAAAGAAACTGCTGATATTATTCTTTTGGATGATAATTTCGCTTCAATTGTTGCAGGTATCGAAGAGGGTAGAATTATTTTCGATAATTTAAAGAAATCTATTGCTTATACTCTTTCACATGCTATCCCAGAAATTGCTCCATTCCTTTTAAATATTGTTTCAGGTATTCCATTGGCAATTACCTCATTCCTTATTCTTTGCATAGATTTAGGTACTGAAATGGCACCAGCTATTTCTCTTGCTTATGAAAAAGGTGAAAAAGATATTATGACTCGTAAACCACGTGTACTTGGTAAAGATCATCTTGTAACCACCAATCTTCTCTCATACAGTTATCTTCAAGCAGGTCCAATTGAAGCCATCGTTTCATTCCTCAATTTCTTCCTTGTTATGGCTGCAGAAGGTTTCCCACCACACATTCTCCCAGGTACAACCCAAGATTATTTTATCGAAACTGCTTTACCATTAAATGGTAAAAATGCTCACCAACAAATTACTGCACTTCGTAAAGCTCAAACTGCATACTTTATGACTTTGGTTATGTGCCAGTTCTTTAATCTCATAACAAATAAAACTCGTGTAGTACCATTATGGAGACATGGTATGATGAATATGTATGTCAATATTGGTCTTATCATCGAAGCTGGTATTTGTTGTTTTGTTATCTACACCCCATTTATCCATACAATTATCGAATCAGAAGTATTCCCAGGAAAGTTTTGGGCTTATCCTTTACCAATGGTATTTTGTCTATTTGCTTGGAACGAAATTAGAAAGAGAATTGCATTTGATCATAGTTTCAAGATATCATCATCATTGGCTTTTTAAATCAAATTATATAATTAGTATTTTTTCGTAATGCTTATTGATTTTTTTTCACAGGTTAATATTTTAATAAACTAATTTATAAATTAAATTTGTAAAAAAAAAAAATTAAAAAATGTTCTTTTAAAAAAAATATTATAGGATATTATTTTTATAATTATTTATTAAGAGATTAACAATTTTATTTTTTATAATTAAAGGGTAGTTTTTAATGACTCCAGTGTTTTTTGTGTGGATCTGAGTGATGTTGTTTTGATTTTCCCCAGTGGCTTGGTTCTTTTTTACCCCATGAAGAAACACCATTATCACCATAAGTATCAGAGATTGAACCTGTAACCAAGCTTGATTTCATTGAAGATCCAGCGCTTGAGAGAGAAATAATTGAATCTATAAATAAAATAAAATTATAAAAAATATTTGTGTTAATAATATTTTTATAGTTTGTTTTTTTTAATTGTTTATACTTACTAAAGATCATTTTTTTTTTAATATTTATTAAAATTTGTATTTTATTTGTTTTTATATATAAATTGAATTTTTCAAAATTATTTATAGTTTTTTTTTTGAAAAAAAAACTTTTAAAAAAGATTTTCTGATATGGGGTAACACACTTTTTAAAAAGACTTTAAATATTAATAAATAGAATAAAATTCCCCATATAAAATAAGGGGATCAATAAAAAACCAAATAGTTTTTGATTTATGTATTTAGAAAAATAAAAATTTATATTATTAGTATTATATTATTATTACTATTATTACATAAATCCAGTTTTGTTTTATTAAATAGTTTTATAAAAATAAATTTAATAGTTTTTTTTAAAAAATAATGAAATTATTGTTTTTATTAATTAGATATTTAAATAAAGGGAAATCTTTTATTTAGGTGATGTTTAATTGAAAGTGATGGTCTTAATCTTAATTGAATTAGCATTTGGATATCATTTGGGATAAGTTTAATAACATCGATTAAATAAAAAAATAAATCTAAATAATTATTTTCCATTGTAATTAATGTTAGTTCTACTAGTCTTGAGTCATGTAAACAGTTGAGTTTATTTGCATTGCCACCTTTAACGCCTTTGAAAACAAATGGGTATTTTTCATATAGCAGTTTGAATATACAAAGATAACCACATTTTGTAGCGGATTCTAATAGATGAATAAGGTGATGTTTTCCAATAGTAGACGATTCATTTGGAAAAAATATTGACATATATTTATCTATTGTTTCTATATCACACTTTTTTGCCATTTCTTTTAATAGAATTGATGAAAGATCCATATTTTTTGAGAGTAAACTAAACATTTTGTCATGGTTATTTGAATAGTATAAAAATACAACATTCTCTTCGAAATAATTGGTATCTATTTCAAACCTATGCGATTTTATATCTTCCTGTCTTTTGTCATAAATATAGTTGAGCAGTATCCAGCTGTTTTGGTTGTATTCGAAATCACTGTATGAATATTTTTCTGTTCTATTTTCAACTAAGTATTTGTATTTATCAATAGACTTTCTGGCATTGAAAAATGCTTTGTAGGTACAGCTATATCCCTTTTCATCTAAAAATTTGATAATATTAAGAGATAAGTCGGGTTCATTTAATAGAGAGGTATCATTTCTTGAAACAATTGAGAATTGTTCGAAGCATTCTATTAGATCGAATCTTTCTCTTTTTAAAAGTGATATGTAGTTGAAGTTAAAATCTTTTTTATTTTGACATAGATACGTTAAAACTTTAACTGATTGAACATACTGAAGCATATCTGAGGAAATTGTTTTCTTTGATTTGTTTACAAATACACCATAAATAACCATTAGATGATGAATAAATTGAATAATTTCTAGGTCGTCGTGTTTTAAAGCTAACTTGAAAATATAATCTTTTTCAGATACACAATTTACATGGTATAGAAATGTTTGTAAAAATATCCTTTGCTTTTCTCTACACTGGCAATATTTGAATAGAGTTGGGGCATTTGGTTTATTGATTGTAGAGTTGAATACTATTTTTTGAGATGATGTGATTTCTAGCAGAGCTTCTGAGTTTCCATATTCTATTGAAATTTCTATTCCTTTCTGTTTTATTTTTTGATTTAAATTTCTTAAATATAAAATATCATTATATTTAATTGCATACTCTATTTCATTAATACCATGGTTTTGAAATCTAAATGAACACACGTCTTGTAAATCGAATAGGTAAATTTCAATTAGTTTTTTAATTTCTAAATTCTGAGGTTCGAATTGCGACAATGGTATTTCTAATTCTTCTTCACTTAGATTTAAAGCTTTCATTTTTTCTAGTAGTAAAGCGGTACCATTTGTTTTTACATTTCTATTTAAAACAAAAACCAGGAACTCGATATATTTCTTTAAAGTTTTTCCATTGTATTCGAAAAGGTTATCCATACATTGAAAACTAAGACTGTTTTGATCTACTATTATAAGGTCTTTTGAATAGAGAAATTCGAAAAGTTGAATATCGCACTTTAAATAAATTGAAATATCGATTTGATACGGATTGCAGTTTGAAAGGTTTATTTTAACAGTATGTATTAAATAATTTGCAATTTCATTGTAGTTTTTATTATTACTTTCTAAAAATATATTATTCAATAATTCTTTTTCTGAAAATTCTTTGAGTGATGGCTCTTCTAAACTAAAAAGATGGTTTAATAATTCTAAATTTCCTTCTTTAATTGCTATATCTATTAGTGATTTTTGAGGTTTGAAGTCTGTATCTTTTAAAAATATATTCAGTGCAGTAATATTTCCCGATATACATGCTTCTTCACAAACATCATTTAAATGAATTATATGTTGTTTGTAATATTGTAATAATTTTCTGTAAAAATCTTCATTTTTCTTTATTATTTTGAAAAAGCTAATGAGTTTGAATGATTTTGGAAATGTTAAATATTGATTTGTTTTTACTTTATCTTCTATTAACCCAAAGTTTGAATGTTTTAGCATCCAATCTACTGAATGAATTTCTGAATATTTCTTTATTTTGGTGTATTTTAAAGATATATTTGATATAATTAAATTTAATATATAAATATTTCTCCATACTTTAAAAAATAAGATGTCTATATTACTATCATTAATATTATTATTATCGCTGTTTTCATTATTGTTTTCTAAAAAATTATTATTCATATTGTTATTTTGAAATTTAATTAAATTAATAAATTTCACTTCTAGTTTTTTTAACACAAAATATATTAAAAAAAAAAAAAAAATGTTCCTCTAAGCTTTTTTTATTTTTTTTTTTTGTATTTAATTATTAATATTTATAGGCTGTTATTATATTATGTATTACACTTTTTATGGTATTTTAAAAAATTAAAATTGAAATGGAACTAAAGGTTTTTGATATTGTACTGTTTAATATTTTAATATTGTTTAAAAATAATGTATAAAAAATATAATTAATTTAGTTAAACACAGGCGAGGTGGGGGGGTATAAATGATAAAATTGAAAAAAAATAAAATAAAAAAAATAAAATAAAATTAAATTAAAATAAAATAATTTAAAATAAAATTAAATTAAAATAATTTGTTGTAGATAATAAAAGATTTATATATTTATAAAATTACATTTATACTAAAATATAATAAAATATTATCCAAATTTTTAGTCTTTCTACTTTTTTTTTTTTTTTTTTTTTTTTTTTTTAATTAAATTGAATTTTAATTTTTTATAATTTTTTTAATTTTAATTTTATATTTTTTTTTTAATTTTTTTTTTTTAAAATCATTAAAAAATACTATGGCAATAATGCAGCTCTTCACAATATATAAATAAAATTAAAGAAGAAAAAAAAGATATTTTCATAAAGGTTTATGGAAAAATCAAATATACAGCTTTTAAAATATTTTATTTTTATCAAACTTTCCTTTTAAATTATTAGTTTTATTTAAATCAATTGAAACCTTGTCCCAATTACTTATCAGTGTCTTATAGCAGACCCCCAAAATAATAGGTTTTCATGATCCTCATTCCAACCGAAAGATGACCTCCATCACTTTTTTAATACACTAAAAACAATTTAAATACAATATTTTATTATACCTTTATATAATTATTTTTTTATTTATTTATTAATATTTAATAATATCACCTTAAAAGTGATTTCTTCACAAACAATTATTGTTGTGGATTTGCTAAGGAACCGCAATACTAAAAGTTGTAAATAATTAAAAAAATTAATATTAAAATTTTTAAAGTATATAAAATATAAAAATTTATTTCTTACTTTTTTAAGTTCAGCAATGGTTAAAACCTTATCTTTATCAGTATCAATTTCATCAAAATAAAAAGTGGCAGTGTTTTTAGCAGCTAATAAATAAAATATTAGGTAGTTTTATTAAAATCAATTAAAAGAAATATAAATTTGAATATTTACCTTCTCTTTCAAAACCTCCAGATTTAATCAAACTTTCAACCATTTCATCAAATGTGATTCTTTTATCCTCATTTTGGTCATAAAATTTTAAAATATCAGCTACTTCACGTTTAATAGCATCTTCTAATTCTTTTGATTTAATTTTTGAGCATTTGCCTTGATTTCAGTAATTGAAACAGTGCTATCTATAATTTCAAAAATAAATAAAATTTTAATTAATAACTTTTAATTTATAAAATTATAAATAAATATATTATTTTGTTAACTTACCATTATTGGTATCTAAACGTTTAAAGATCATATAAGCGGTTCTTTCTGGGTTCTTTACTTTATTTTGACATAAGTAATCAGTAATTTCATCAAGAGTTAAGCTTTTGTCTCCATCTCTGTCATATTTTTTTAACATGGATTCCTTTTAATATAATATTTTTGTTAGATATATTGTTTAAATTTATTTCTGTTATAATTGTTTATTTTATACATACAACATCTTGTTCAATTTTTTTGCATACATCACTTACTGTGGCCATTTTATATTTGATCTCTAACTTTAATAATTTAATAAAAAAAATGAAAATAATTAAAATAAACAATTATTTATACAAATTATTAAATGAAATGTAATTTATTCAATAAATTAAAAAAAAAATGAAAAAAATTAAAATTTACCAACTTACAATTTATCTTTTTTTGTTTTGTTTTTATTAACCCCAATTTTTTTTTTTTTTTGCATTAAAGATTTAAGGGAGATTTAAAATAATATTTATTTATAGCTTTAAATTAGTGACCTTTAAAAAACAAATAGCTATTTACTTGAAAAAAAAAAAAGCAGTTTTATTTGTAAGTTAAGTTTTGAACAACTATATTTATTAAATATTATAATATTATTAAATTTTAAATAACCACTTGGTTTTGGGGTATTGTTTCTTTATTATTATTAATTGAAACTGTATTTTTACCAAATATAAATTCGTGAGCTTTAACATCATTCTTTTTGCCCTCTTCATAAAGTTCAGTAAAGCCAACCCAACCATCTTTACATTTGGTCCATAAAATATTGCTGTATGGTTTTGATTTATCAGTTTCTAAAAAGTAGGTTCCAAAAGGTATTTGAGAGTTACCACCACAACGATTATAATAGCTTTCCAAGTCTGTTTCTAATGATTGGTAAATAGTTTTATTTTCTAAATCGTGGGCTTCATAAATTCCAAGTGGGGGTAACATTTTTCTAAACTTGATTCTTTTATTTGTTTTATACTTTTTATTATAAATCATACCATGTAAACTAATGTTGTCGCTGAAAGCTCTATAATGAATCCAAATTTCTTTTTGAGTCGAATTTTCCCAGTTAACTTTCGATATATCTTTATTTACTTTTGAAGCTAGTGTTTTACCTTGCTCTGGTTGATCAAAAGAGTTCATAGATTTATTTGGGAAATCTTGAAGAGTTTCCATTAATGTTTCAGTACCTAAATTTGATAGTTGATTTAATAATTGATTATATAGTATTGAATTATCATAATTGTTTAGTTTAACTTGACTTAAAATTTTACCACAGTCGAATCTTTCTGGATGTAGTTCGATAATTGAAATACCAGCTTCTTTGTCGTCTTTGAGAATAGTATGATAGATTGGAGCGGCACCTCTATGTCTAGGTAATAGTGATGGATGCATATTTAATCCACCATATTTAAATTGCGATAATACTGATTTTGGTATAAAGTGACCAAATGATACTACTACAGCTAAATCGAATGGTTGTTGGTTTGATTCTGTTGTTGGCACTTGAAATCCTTTCATTCCTTTTTCCTCGTCTGGGTGTGTAATTTTAATATTATTTTGTATTGAATACGATTCGACCTCTTCTCTCTTTTTTGATTTTGGACAAACTACCTGTAATTCTTTGACAATATCACCTCTTGTGGTTTTGTTTTCATTTAATGCTTTTAAAATTGGTAATGAGACATTATCGGTACCAAAGAATAAAATGTTATATGGTGGTGGTTTTATTATAGTTTGCGAGGTACTGAAATATTTTAAATTATAATATATTTTATTTTGATGGTTATTATTTATTTTAAATCTATTTATAAACATTTTTTTTATTTTGTAGTAATATTATAAAAAAATGAAATTAAAAAAAAATGAAATAGAATGAAAAAATAAAAAAAATAAAATGAAAAAAATTTTTTTTTTTTTTTGCAGATTTTCCAAAAAATGTGTCCAAAACAAATAAAAATTAATTTACAAAATTAAAAAAAAAACAAATAAACAATTAAAACTAACAATTATAATTATTGTTAACTTTTAATATTTATTTTAACTCTTTTTTTTTATACTATAACTATACAATAAATGATTAATTTTTTTTTTTTTTTATTATTTTATGCGCAAAAATACAAATGTATATATATAATTATTTTTTCTTTTTATTTATTTTCCTGCTCTATAATACTTCATCATTTGGACCAACATTACAAGAGCCGGTGGAACATCGCCTTCAATAATCCATTCTCCACCGGCTTGGCCTGATGAAGAAACTAAAAAGTGTCTTGATAATGTCCAAGAGAATTGGTTTCTAATGGGGAAGCTATCGAAAGTAAATTGCTTTAATGAAGGTTGATATAAGTATTTAAGGTAAGGCTCTTTTATTTTTTCTTCACTATACCATGTTAACCAGACGCCATTCCATCTTCCTTTACCCATATGAGTCTTTGATTCTGATGAAGCAACCAAAGTGCAACCATCCCATAGATATTCCAAAGGTTCACTCCAGCAATTATTTGTTAGTTTACCATCACAGTAGATCCATTCTTCTTCGCCAAATCTAAATGAACCACCCTTATGATTTTTCTTATTTAAATTTAAAAATTGTTCTTTTTGTAACAAATCCATTGTTGATTTAAAGTTTGAATTTGAAACACCATCAATCGCCATTACCCAGTTTATCATATCCTCTTGACTTTCGGAGCAAAATACAATTTGTTTATTATTTGATTTTTTTATATTATTTACATTGTTATTTGTAGTGTTATTACTATTATTACCATTACCATTGGCATTATTATTATTAGTATTCGAATTATTACTTCCATTACTACTGTTACTAGTTGACAATTGGTTATTTGAACCCAATGATGTTAAACTTCCTGTACTTAAATTCCACTCTTCTGTAATTTCATTATTATCTTGATTCGAAAAATATATTGTAAATGCATTGCTATAGCCCTCTTTAACCAATGGTGTTAATACTATTGAACTTATTTCATTTAAAGGTTTTTTTATTAATATTTGTTCTTCCTATAATTTATAAAAAAAAAAATTAATATAATTATAAAATATAATTTAAAAAAAAATATAATTTAAATAATACCTTTTCATTTGAATATACTAAAAGCTCTGAATGAGATAAAACTACCCATTTATTTGAAAATTTGCTTCCTAATGATCTTGTTTTTTTTTTTATTAATGGCCCTCTTTTATAAATTTGATTGTTAATATGTGGTAAAAGACTTGATGATTGGCCTAAAGATATAGTCATTTCGAATGGAATTGAAGTAATTTCGGATGGAGGGTTTCCAGTTGAGAGGAATTGGGCAACGGTTGAAATAATTGTATATATAATAAAAGTTCTTTTTTCGCTTATGTTTGGTTTGTTCATTTCCATTTTTAAAAATAACATTTTCTTTGCCAATAAAAAGGTTTTTCTTTCTATGACATCTGCAACAAATAATGACTCGACGCTACCACAATCATTATCGATCATATCGAAACCAAGGTTAAACTGTTTTAAAATTTCTATTATAACCAATGTGTCATTACTAGCTTTCATTTTTTTTTCATATTTTTCAATTTCAATATCATCTTGCTGAGTTAAATTTGATAATGATGAGGCTGATGCTGACGAAGCAGTTGGTGATGAGGATGATGAAACTGATGATGCATTAGGTGATGATGGTTGTTGTTGCAATTGTTTTTGAATGGAACTAAGATTTGATAAAACAAATTCATTATCTTTTGATGCTAATTCTTTACATTTTTCAATTGTCAGGTTGGAAGGCAATTCCCATGATTTTTCAGAGCTTGGTTTTGATGCTATTATATTTGATTTATAAGAATTTGTACTTGATGTTGATGAATTTAATGGGTTGGCACTATTGGAGTTACTATTGTTTGATAAATTATTACTGTTGATATTATTTTCATCAATTATATTATTGTTTTGATTATTATTGCAATCATTATTACTATTATTATTAATTTCATTATTATTTATTTTCTGAACACAACTTGTACTATTACGATTATTATCCATACTTGCTGAACAAACACCACTGCTTATTGTTGATAAATCTGAAATAGTTGAACCAATTGATGTTCTTTCATTACAGTTTTCTTTTATTATATCATATTGATTATGTATTTTTTGTTTATTTTTTTCATGCTCTAAAACACTTGCATGGGACTTTAATTGTTTACTTGCTCTACGTGCACGTCTGGATAATTCTTCTGGTTCAGAGTCTGGTGATGATGATAATGGAGTACATGAAGCTTCGTCTGTTGCAGTCATTTGTGTTGTTGAGCCATCGTCATCGTCATTATCACTTGTTGATCTTGGAGTGCTAGAGTTACTTGTAGAAGTTGAGTTATTATCTACCAAGCTGTTAATTACTGTACTTGATGACAATGGTGTTGCCATATTTAGTGACTTTTTTAAAAACCCTGTTGTATTACCAACTTTAACTGTTACTGAATGATTGTTATTACTATTATTATTCATTGTGTTCACTATGCTACTATTATTATTACTATTATTATTACAATTATTAATATTATTATTTAAACAATTATTTTGTTGTATTTGATTTATATTTTGTTGTGATGAATTATTTTGTGCAAGCTGTTCTCTTTGACTATTATGTTGGACTATATAGCTATTCATATTTGAAGAACTTGCTGATTTTGCTTTAAAAAGTGATGACATTAATTTTTTCTTTTTTTCTTTTGAAGTTTGGTGGCAATTGCTAACCTCGTCTATTAATTCTTTATCTACAGTGTCAATCTTTTTCATTTTATATATATGTATGCAAAATAAAGGAGATTTAAAATATATTTGTTATTATAAAAAAAATATTCTATTATTATTATTATAAAAAATATTCTATTATGCTATTTGATATTATTTATATTAAACTAAAAATTATTTATTAATAATAATAATAATGATAATAATTTATGGTGATGATGATGATGATAGTGATGGTGATGATAGTGATGATGATAATAAAATTTTATTTTATTATTTTATTTTGATATAGATAAAATAATTTTATAAAATTTATATATATAAATAGAAAATAAAATATTAAATATTGATTATAATTTAAAAATAAAAATAATAATAATAATAATAATATTTGTATATATTTTATTTTATTATTTTTTGGCTGTTTATTTTTATTTATTGATTATTATAATTATTAATATTAATCGTTAATATCTAAAATAAAAAAAAAAATTTGATATTAGTATAACAAAAATCAAAAAGATGTTATTTTTTTATTATTTATTGCATTGGGGAGAAAAAAAAAAGAGTAAGAGAAAGTACAAATAAGGAAAGATTCCGTTAAAAAAAGAAAAAATATTTTTTTAAAATAAAAAAATGGGATAAAGTATTTATATCTGTGTCTTATTTATTATTTTTTTTTTTTGTATTATATCATATGTTTTTTTGAATTTTAAGCGAGAGTGGGTTTAAATTTTTGAAACATTGATATAAACTACACTATATAGTGGTGTTTTTAGTGTTTTGTTTGGTATGTGTGTGTGTTTTATGTTTTCTCTGTGTGTTTATTTTTTATTTTATTTTTTTTTTTTTTTGAGAAGTGTTGTTGTTGATTAATATTAAAGAAAAATATAGTGTATAATGGTGTGTGTATGTGTGTGTTTGAATAACTCTATTTTTATATTTTTTTTATCTTTTATTTTTTTAAATATGTATATTTTGTAAATATGTTTGTTTTATGTTTGTGTGTTGTTGAAAAAAAAAAAGCAAAAGCAAAAGAAATATTCAATTTCTTTTTTTTATGGGTGTATAGATAACATATCTTTAAACATATTATTTTTTTTTTTAAAAAAAAAAAAAAAAGTTTATAATATGACTTTATTTTGTATACATTTTATAAAACAATCTATATCAAAACATTTTATAATTGTTTTATTTGAAAGGAAAAAAAGAAATTTAAATATATTATATTTTTTAATCCCTTAATATTTTTATAATAAAAAAATATAAATCTATAAATATATTTTAATATTTTCTTTTTATTTTACAAAAAAAAAAAAACCAAATAAATAAACAAAAAAATAAGTGGATTTTAAATGATATATAATATACTATTTAATAATCAATAGTTTATCCCAATAAAATATTTTATATAATGATTATTTTGGTTTTGGTTTTGATTTGATTGATTTGATTGATTGATTGCTAAAAGATAAATTAATAAAATCAAACATACACTTTGAAACAAAATGAGATTTGGTATGACTATATATTATGATTTATTATTTGGTTTGTCAATAATTCTATTTTTTTTTATTTTTTTTGGAAATATATAAAAAAAAAAAAAACAATCTTAATAAAAAATTTTAATATATACTATTTTTAAAATAATATTTTTGAAAAAAATATTTAGGGTTGATTGATTATTTTTTATTTTTATTTTTATTATTTTAATAGTTTTTAGCAATATTTAATTATTATATAAAAGGGAAAAATATAATTAATAAAAGAAAGGCTTGTTTATTTGTTTTGTTTATTTGGATATTGGGTTGTTATTTTTATATGTTGTTGTTTTTTGTTGTTGTTTTGCTGTTAACTCTGCTATTTTTAACCAACAGACTATTATAAGTGCGCTAAATAAATTAATAAAAAAAATTACACTTTATTATCTTTTAAATTTCTATTATATATAAAAAATAATATTATATAGTAACCTATTTAAATTGTTATTATTGTTGTTGGTGTTGCTATTTTTGTTTAGAGATAAAACACCATAGAGTATATTGTGTATGAGGGAAATGAAATGGGTATATAATTATATATGAGAGAGAGATAGTGTGTGTATGTGTGTGTGTGTGTGTGGTGAGTGTAAATGATATATTTTTATATTTACTTAATGCCATACAATGTTTTATAGTATTTTATAATTGTTAAATATTTATATACAAATAAAAGCGGGACTGAGTGAGAGGGTAATAAAAATGAAATACTATTAAAAAAAAAATTATAATAAAAAATAATTAGAAAAAAAAAAAATAAAAAAAATAATAAATAAAAAAATATGTTTAACCCATCTGGGTTAGTTTTTTTTTTTTGAAATCATTTAATTTATCTTATATAAATGGATATATTAATTAAATTAGTATTGGAATGTGTGTGTATGTGTGTTAGTGTTTAAGTGTGTATGGTGTAATGTCTGTGTTTGTGTGTGGGCGTGAGTTTTTTTTTTTTATTTTTTTAATTATTTTATATATATGTTTGAATATTATTGTCTCTATATATTTTAAAAAAAATGAAAAAAAATGAAAAAAAAACAATTAAAAATGGATTGAAATGTGTTTGTTGTGTGAGAAATATAGAGAAATTACCAAAAAAAGAATTAAATTAAAATTAAATTAAATTTTGATGGTCTACGATGAATGTTCGATTTTATGAAAAAAATGAATTTGTGTTAGATAAGAAATTAGATTAAATTTGAATCTACTATCAAATACTTTAATTAAATAAAAAAATAAAAAATATAAAAAAATAAAATAATAATTAAGTAATTAAACTAAATAAGTTAACACACAACGGGACAAAAAACAAAAAAAACACACCACACAATGATTTATAGCACTAATAAGATGCCATAATTTAAATACCATATATGTACATTCGATACATTTTCCCAATTTATGTAATACCACAATACTATCTTTTTTGTTTTTTTATTTTTATTATATGTGTGAGCATGAAATAAATAAATAAAAAAATAAAAAAGATATAAATGAAATTATAATTATTATTATTATTTTTATTATTATTATTAAATTGGTTATTGTGTGTGGGACATGTTGAAATAAACAATAAAAATAAATGAAAATAATAATGAACAACAATAGCACTATGATATGATGAATTAATGATGATACTTTTTTTTTATTTTACTTTTTTCTTTCTATTTTATTTGGTTTGTTGTTGTTATTGTTGTAAAAATTAATAATACTGTTTTTTATTTTAATTTCTTTTTCTTTTTTTTTTTTTTTTTTACCATTAATTTTTATTTTTATTTTTTATTTTTTTATCCAAACAACGACTAACCTATCCTTTTCACTAACAGGAAATTCCTTTTTTCTCTTAAAATACCCCATAAAATAACAACAAACCCTCCAAAAAAAATCTTCTGTAAAACAAAAAAAAATTAAAAAAGCACACACACCACAAACGTTAAAATTCATCATTTCGCCC